GTTCCTTTAAGCTGTAACAACTCAGTTTCAGCTTCTTCAGCAGTCCTTCAGCAGTCCTTCAGCAGTCCTTCAGCAGCTCAGTGTTTTCTCTGTATTTTCACAGAAAACATAATCTCTCTCTCTCTCTCTCTCTCTCTTTCTCTCTTTCTTCTGTTTCTAAGTTTCTGTGTAAGAACCCGTTTCAGCCCGGTTCCTGTGGTGCTGTTGAAGGTCTCTGAGGTTAGTTAGAATGACACTGTCTTTGTTTTTACGCATATTGACCTACCTATGACCTTTGACCAGCAGCGTGTGGGCTGTGGGACCTCTTTAGTCCTGTGGTGTCCCTCAGGGTTCTGTACTGGGTCCACTTCTTGTCCTCGTTGGTGAAGCTCTTCATGTACAGAACAGTTCTGATGTTGGAGCTGGTTCTGTTTAGTTCTGTGGTTCAGATCCTTTGAACCAGATTTGTTTGGCATCAGTCAGCTTTAGTTTTATTACAGTGAAAGATTGAATGTACACCTTAACACCAGTAAAAACTGGTGCTATGTTCCTTTAATGTAACGGTCTGTGGCTGTTCTGACGCCCCCCACCCCCAAACAGCTGACAGCAGAAGAAGGCCAGCTGATTTATTTATAGCAGAGTTCTTTGGAGTCTTAGACCTGCTCTGTCTTCGTCCCGCTCACCTCCTCCACCTGCTGAGGGTTCGCCGTCCATCATGCCCGGCAGTCAGACCCGGAACAGGGCCAGAGACCGGAACAATGTCTTGAACCGGCCTGAGTTCATGTCCCTAAACCAGACGCCTCGAAGGGAGCAGGCAGCGGGGGAGGGACGAGGTAGTGGGTCGAGGAGACCCGTGTTCAGACAGCAGAGTCAGCAGGAAGACCCAGGAGGGAGGTAAGACCCCAAGGCCCAGAGGCTCCACCCACTTACACCCCACTGACATTTTTAGAGTGTGAACAGACCCCATACTGGAGTCAATCCAGAACCTGGATCAGATCAAAATCTAAACTGTTTGAGATTTTAAAGTTGAGTAGAAACCAGATTCTGGACCCAGAGGGTTCTGTTTGTCTGAACAGCAGGACTTTAAACTTTTCACATCCAGAAACGTTACACGTGAAGTCCTAACCAGCTGACCGTGTTTGTAAAAACACTCAGTCCAAACTCCTCAGAACTCTGAACAGTCCACTCGGATGGTTCTGAACATTCCTGAGATTCTTCGTTTTTGTGTTTTCATCAGAACCGTTTCCACATCCGCCTGAACATCCTGTGAAAGTTCTGAAGCGAATGCCCCAAAGCACTGTGGGAATTGTAGTTGATTATAAAATACACTTCGTGTACTCTCTGATGTTTCAAGGCTTTTATTCTGAAACACTCAGCAGGAAACTGAATAGTTGTGGAGTTAATGACAAACTTCAGTGGAGGTCAGGTGGTGCAGCTGCTTGTTGATTGGTTCTGGTTTTATGGGTCTGGTCTATGTTTCTGACACTCAGGGGGTCCAGAGAGGCCTCTGATGGAGGCCACGCAGCAGACGGGGCCCCAAAGGAGGCCTCCCGGTTCCCGGAGCAGGACTGCATGCAGCTGAACCCAACGTTCAGAGGCATCGCCATCAACTCTCTGCTCGCCATCGACATCAGCCTTTCAAAGCGTCTGGGCATGTGCGTGGGGGCGCACGGACCCGGTGCCCCTCTGCGCTCCATCGTGACCCTGCTGGCCCTCACAGGACACGCCCTTCCCTGGATCTTTGGGACCCTGATCTGCCTGTGGAGGAGCAACACGCTGGCTGGACAGGAAGTCCTTGTTAACCTGCTGATGGGTGAGACAACTGAGAGACAGACAGGCAGATCCTGAGAGTTCTACCTGTCTCGCTCTTTATCTTTACCTGTCTGTCTCGGTGGTTTCTGAGTTCCCACTTGTTGGACTCTTTGCAGCCCTGATCCTGGACCTGATGACCGTTGCTGGGATGCAGAAGCTGGTCAAGCGCAAAGGTCCTTGGGACTTCCCTCCGGGGTTTTTGGACTACGTTGCCATGGATATGTATTCTTTCCCAGCAGCCCACGCCAGCCGAGCCGCCATGGTGTCCAAGTTCCTGTTGAACCACCTGGTCCTGGCGGTCAGTCCGCTGTGGTCTCATCTTTAACGTATCATTAAATGTGTTTCGCTTGTTCTTGTGAACCTGTTCCACATGATGACACGTCCTCCGTCCTGCAGGTGCCCCTGAGGATCCTGCTGTACCTGTGGGCCTTCCTGGTGGGCGTGTCCCGAGTCCTGCTGGGTAAACACCACCTGTCAGACGTCGGCTGTGGGTTCGCTCTCGGGTTCCTTCACTTCAGTCTGGTGGAGTCCGTTTGGTTGGACTCGGCCACCTGTCAGACCCTCATCTCCATCGGCACACTGAGCTGGACTCCACTGCTTTAGAACCCGTTTGGACTGGTTCTGCTGGGAGTTAGACTGCAACAGACTGGTGTGCTCCAGTTTAGACCGGCTTATATTGATACTGCTGGCTCTTGGATTGTGCAACATCACCATGAGCGCACTGAATTGGAAGTAACTGGTTTAGCCTGGACTGAACTGGTTCAGACTGGTGTAGACTGATGTAAACTGGTCTGGTTTGGACCCCTTTGGACTGATTCTGATTCTTCTGGGTTAAAATTTTCTACGTGTTCTTCCAGCTCGACCAGAACTGGTCTTAGGATGTTAAGGATGCACTACACTGGTTTTGTTCAGTCTGAACCCGTTTAAACTGGTTTGAAATTGTGTGTTTAGGCAGAGTGACGTTTTGCTGAGTTTTGGCTCAGAAGTGGAACTGGTACGTTCTGGATAACTGTCCTGTGGTCCTCTTTAGACAGGGTTTAAGGACATCTTCAGTTCAGTGGTTAAAACCAGGAACTGCTGGATTACCACAGGTGTAGGTCACCTTACAGCTGCTTGATTACTGGTGCCTGGCTTAAACCAGTTTAAACTGGACTGAAACGGACAGATAAGTATCAATTCAATGTTTAGTTTGTGAGCGCTGCAACGGTGGAAGGATGTCCACCAGTGGTCCTCAGTCCTGGTCCTCCAGGGTCTTCTGTCGTCATGCTCTGCTGAAGTGTGTTCAGTCGTCTCAGACATGCAGGGCAGTGGCTCTGGAGGACCAGGATCAAGGACCACTCATGTGGAGGTTATTCAGGAGGACTGGGTTCTGGTTTAGACTGGGTCGGTCTGGGTTCAGACTGATGTCTGTTTTCTTGGTGTGTTGCTGTTGGGAGACAGATGGGTTGTCTCAGGTCCGACCTCCTGGACGTATCTAAGAATAAAAACATCTAAATATTTGACTTCTTGTGCAGATTTTTACAACTCGCTGGACTTTTATTAAAAAATGCTGCGTGACGACAAAGAGAAGCAACAAAGGTGGTAAAAGTCACGGTTATTCTGACACCTGAAAGTCTTGATAATTCAAGTATTTATGGATTTTTAATGGCAAAAGTTCTGTAGATAACGTCGACTTAAAGCAGCTTGAAAGTTTTTTATACTTGGAGTATACATTAGTTTAAAATGAAATGAGGTTTCCGACATCGTAATAAGAATCACCTCCGATACGGCAGAACAAAATGGTAAATGGACTGCACCTATACAGCTCCTCTCTATCTTATTTCAAGACACTCAAAGCTCTTTACTACAAACTGTGTCCTCATTTACCCATCCATACAGCTCTCTACTAGAGATCTACTAGATCTCTACTAGATCAAATCATTTTAATGAGACTAATCAGAGCTTTAGGTCACATTCAGACACTGATGGGACTCACATCGGAGGCGATGAGGGGTTCAGTGCCTTGCCCAGGGACACTTCAGCATGTGACTGCTGGTGGATTCGAACCCCCAACTCTCACATTGGAGGACGACTGCTCTAACCACTGAACCACAGCCGCCCCAAAAGAATCAACTTTTTTCCTGAAGTTTAATTTGATCCATTTACTGATGACAAAATAACAAATGTGATGTAGGCCTAGTCAAAAACTGAGCCTGTAGTTATTCAAGGTTCTGTATTTGTCCTACACACCACTTCACCCCCAGTTCTGGTTTCAGACCACACACACTCCATCAGAATCCTTTGAAACCCGAGGCCATCTTTGGCATCGCTCCAGGTTTCAGTTCAACGTTGGCAGGTTCGGCGGTCACTCCCTGTCCCGGCTCAACGCTCAGAACGCACGTTTCTCCGGTAAAGAAAGTCAGACCACCTGTTCAGCCTTGTGGAGATTTGTCCAGGATCTTGAATCTGTCACGTGAACGCTGGCTGTGCCCCTTGCATCCCCGGCCTGGATACCAACTTGTCCCACGTCCCACCTGATGCTACACTTTTTTCCAGTGCCTTTTTCAATGTTCCAGTCCTGCCAGTTTTGGTTTGCTTTTGATTTTAATGGCCCATCATACACATTCATCCACCTCTGCCAAGGCTGCTCTGAGTCCCCTTTCATTTATAGAGACAGCGCAGAGCCCTTCACCCCCCCCAGGAGCTGCCCTCTTCTAATATGATGATCTTCTTTGTTCCCCCAATCCAGAACAGTGTGGAGCCAACACTGTGGCTTTACTCCAACGTCTTGCTGCTGAAGGTCATAAGGTCATCCTTTCCAAAGTGCAGTTTGCAATGCAGGGAAAACGCTTCCCCCAATAAATTGAAGGAATTATTAAATTACCCAAGCCTCTTACTGCGGGGCCTTTGTTCCAAATTACTCCGCTGAGTGCACTCATTAACGGTCATGGCCTTCATCCTCATGACTTGGACCCCCAAAGCTGATCAGGCTTTCACAGACATGATTGTCTCTGCACACATGATCTCTCTGACACACCTTTACCTGCTCTGGCTTGTTTCCATATGTAAATGGATTTGTATCACATGACTCACGTCTGATTTTTGCAGATGATGTGGTCCTGTTGGCTTCATCAGATCGTGATCTTCAGCTTTCGCTGGAGCGGTTTGCAGCCGAGTGCAACGCGGCCGGGATGAGGATCAGTTCCTCCAAATCCGAGGCCATGGTCTTGAGCCGGAAAAGGGTAGAGTGCCCTCTCCGGGTCAGGGAGGAGGTCCTGCCCCAAGTGGAGGAGTTCAAGTATCTTGGGGTCTTGTTCACGAATGAGGGAAAAAATGGAGCGTAAGATCGATAGGCGGATAGGTGCAGCGTCTGCAGTGAAGCGGGTGCTGTACCGGTCTGTCGTGGTGAAGAGAGAGCTGAGTCAAAAGGTGAAGCTCTCAATTTACCGGTCGATCTACGTTCCTGCCCTCATCTATGGTCATGAGCTTTGGTTAGGATGCCTCCTGGACGCCTCCCTGGTGAGGTGTTCCGGACACGTCCCACCAGGAGGAGACCCAGAGGAAGACCCAGGACACGCTGGAGGGACTATGTTCCTCTGCTGGCCTGGCCTGGGAACGCCTCGGGATTCCCCCGGAGGAGCTGGACCAAGTGGCTGGGGAGAGGGAAGTCTGGGCCTCCCTACTGGCTGCTACCCCCACGACCCGACCCCGGATAAGAGGAAGAAGATGGATGGATGGATGTATGTAAATGTGGACTCTGGTTGAAAAGTCATCTTAAGGAACATTTAAAGTGTTCATGACGTTTGGACCAGAACAAAAGTTTTAATCAAACGAAGGCAGAAGAAAAAAGACAATAAACACATGACGTCTTTTCTTTTTACAAATAACTCAGAATAATTATAACATGTGGAGAAGTTGGACCTACAGCATCAACAAAACACTAAGAAGGCCACAGATTTATATGAAATATTAATAAATCACATTAATAAAAGGTAAAAATTATTAAAAATAAATTCATAGATAATAATTAATTAATTCTACCACTGAAAATAAAAATGACCAAAAGCAAAAGACACGTATTCATGTCACGTTGAAATAAAATGTTATGTTCCAATTCTCTCTGCTCCTCCTCCTGACCTCTGACCCCTCCGTTTCCATGGCAACCGCCGCCTCCCGCCCAGCGTTCTGGAGCAGGTCAGGACTCCGTGTGGACCGCAGAGATCTTATCGATGGACTGCAGGAGCTGAGAGACCAGACGGAGACTTTCTGCCTCCCCGAGGAGCTGCCTGAAGACACACACACACACACGCGCACGCACACACACACGCACGCACACACATGCACGCGCACACACACACACACGCACGCACACACAGGTGATGAGCAGGCAGGTGACAGGTGCATCTGGTGGACCTCGGCGCAGAAAGACGACTCGTCTCCTTCTGATGAGTTTACCTGAGACTCACCTGTGTTTAACGATCAGAGGTCACATGACCTGACCGGACCGACGACTCGTGGCTACGTGCGAGTCAACAGAAGAGTCCAGGAGGGACCTGGACCCTGATGAACTTTAACAACTCGTCTCCAGACGAGACTTTTCGGAGCCTTAACGCTGTTCGCTCCTTCAGACTCGTGGCGCGGCGCGCTTCACAGCTGGAACGTTTCTGAGCTGAACCATCTTCCAGCTGCAGAACATCAAGCCAGATG